GGAGGCATATAAAATACAATCACATATGCAGACAGAATGCTGGAATAAATGTTTCCCTGGAACACCAGGCTGGACACACATAAATAGATTTTATTAGCGGTTGCTCTTACCAGTTACTGCTGCTGAGGTATATGATCCAGCTGCTAGCTGTTTGATCTTGGGCTGGTTGGTAAAAAACCTAATTAAATGAAATGTGGTCCTTTCCTCTGTGTCACCTAATCCCAACTGACCTTCGCTGTTACCTCCAGCAGCATACACATTTCCTTTTTCTGCATACAGAAAAGCACATGTAATACACAGAATGAAGACATTCTCATCAATGGTAAAAAGTCAGAAAAACTGGAGCAAGTAATTTAATTTTCGATGGAAAAACATTACAGAAAAGTTGGGGTCTACTGCCCTGAAATATCCTCGAGTTGACATTAGCAGTGTCTGTTGTAGCTAGCAAGGAGGCTTTCCTGCACACGCTTGGGTCAGAACTTTCTAACAGCCTTACATGTACTTAGACTGACTGCATTTCCCACCATTCTGGAGACTGATCTAAAAAGTAAATATAATTTGGAGTTCTGCAAGAGTTCTGAGAAAATGACTATTAGTAGCCCTGGCAGCCAGAAGAAGCTCCTTCTCCAAATAATGTATATTTTAAGATAAAGCAGGAGGAACATGGTGAATGATGTCACAGGCAAGAAAACTGAAGTCGTATTAGTACGTAAATTAAAGCGATGCATAACTTGATAGTTTTGAGTACTGTGAATGAAATATATTTTTGCTTAGGTTTTTATTAGAAATATTTTACTCATTTCAATATTTAAATCACTTTCAATTTCATTAACTAGGTCTTTATTTTGGTTTAGAATCTTAAAATTGAAGTTAAAGCTGATGATTGATATCTTCAACTTAAGAGAACTTTAAGATTTATATTTTTAATTTTAGTATGTTTCACATCTAAAGTGCTCATCTATGATGAAAAAGATAAGGCCCATTAATAACACAAATCCAGACACAAATGTGATAAGCAACTGACATACAATTTATAAATGGCCCTTGCTATATAAATAGCCACAAATTATCTAGCCAGCGTGTACGCTAAAAGTGACTAATATTACCCTGTGCAGTCTTGCATACACAACTGTTATTAAAATGTTCTGCTTTATTCTAATAGTCTTATTTACAGTGCTTAGGGTCTCCACATATATAAACCTCCTAATAATCAAACAATCCTCTTTATAACATTACTGCAAGCTAAAGGATTGCAACCAGAAAGATGTCTATTCCATTACATAAATTTTAGAAGCATGACAAGAATTTGCATCAACTCTCTGTATACTGTCTCTCTAAAAATTTATTTTTTAGTTTAAATTTACAGTTTGGTTATTTATAGCTTAATAAAGCAATTTGTCATTGAAATAGCAGACTGCCTTGTCTAACTAAAATGCAACAAAATTTGAAGACTTGAAAACATTCAGTTCTATTATATTTACTCAAATATATAACTTCACACTAATAAAGACAAATTACTTGTCAAAGGCAAATTTGAGCACCGCTATATAAAAAATACTAATATACCTTTACATGGCTTAAATGAAATATTGATAATTGTTAACCACACCTCAAATGCCAGCAAGAAATTTTTTCATCTGTCTATTGCTAGCAAACTCCAATATAACATTATTTTATAAATGCATTGGCTCAGAATAAATCAAGTATTCAAAGAACTGGATATCAAACCCCCAAGTTTTAACAGTCCCATTTTCATTTATTTTCCCTTCCTCAACATTCCTGAGGTTCCTAATGTAATTTTGCATGAAAGCAAAGGAAGAAATCTATCTTTAATATGTATATAATATAGGTTACATACCTGTGTAAACTAAAGTGTGGTTTCTTCCACAAACAGCAAGTTTTGGTTTTTCTGGTTTTAAAGCTATGAATTAAAGCCAAACGGGGGGGAAAAGTTACAAACAAGCTGATAGCTGGTTCAACAACAAAATGTTCTATGCTCTAGAGGAAGCTCTTATTTTTTTCATATTTTTAACAGAATGATTACAAGATTCATTGCCCATTTAAACCTAGCACATGACTTACTAAATCAGGATTCCCCCAAGACAAGAAAACAGATATAGACCTTAAAAACTTATAACTGACGCTCAGGTTAACTTGATGATGGCTACTTCATCCCAATGCCACATTCCCCAGAATTTACCATTTATGGGATATGCCTCAAAGAATATATCAAGTTGCAGGACAAAATGCATACTTAAGGCTTAGTTTTCAGTAACAGTACTATTCTTTACTTCCTCTTATGCTTTTCCCACTATCTAAAATCTTTAAAATCATACTGTTCTTTTGTCTTATCATCCCTATCTTCCTTCATTATGCACAGCTACCCTTTTTGCTTGACTTTTGCTCTGCACTGCCTTCTTATTGACCACCAAACTCAATTGCTAAGGACAGTCCTACCTGGACTAGTGCCTAAAATTTTTGCATATACCATCCGGTCTCAATTTCAACTCAGTTACCACCCACCCACCGCATGTACTTCTCTGCAGTCTGGTCACTGTGAAAGACTGGGAATGTATGTGAGAGGAGTCAAGAGTTATTTTGTTGGGAAAGAGAGAATACAGAGGGGCCTTTTCTCCCATGGCAAGTGCACTCCATTTCAGAAACAGAAGAAAAAAATCTCACCGACTTTTCCATCCTCTCTCCAATTACTGGTCATTGCCAACAATTTACCTTCTCTCAGCCACGTCCATGTCCCCTATACAATGCTCTGAAAACAGCACTATTTTTACATAATGTATCTTTAATTGCTTTTCCACTGCACTAGTCCATGACAAAGCCAACAACCATCGTTCCTTTCAGAAACCCTTTTTCAGTCCTTCCAAATCAACTTTCATCAGCTCCATAACATTCAGATTAAAGTCCCTTTTACCTTCTGCCAAGTAACTGAATAAATCTATCTACTTAAGCATGAACTGTCTTTGGTCTACCACATAGACACAAACATAAATTGTCCAAATTCAGGTTCCTGCCTATCCTATCCGACACCTACCACTACCACCAGGCTGGAACCGTAACACTTCCAATATTGGCTTCCTCCTGCTTTATATCCCAAAACTCTGCCTCCAACTTCAGAGATGATCTTAATCAGCTCCTCAGAAGCCTGTGCTCCCTAACCTTCCTCCCGCTTAGGCGAATCAATTGTATTTGATGAGCCATGCTATATTTACAATGCTGCTGGCAATTTTTTGTAACCAATTTCATTAGTCTCTAGTCAAGTCCCAGAAGATATTTTCTCAGAAAACATGCAGCCACAACCATTTGGCTCCAAGCAGAAACGGAAATGTGTCCTTGCAACCCCACTCCCAAAGCCAAGCGATGACTGAAAGTTGTGAGAAAAGCTCCAGGACTTTCTCCCGCTGTCTACTGCCAAGAGAAGAAAGATACCCCCCTTGTGACTTTTTTCAATGGATGCCAGGTCTGGTTTGAATTGCAGTCATCTTCTCTTCGTCTTTTATTCTCCATTGCAATTTGACAGTAAAAAGAAAACTTGACACCCAATCCATTTAAGCCAAGGTAAGAATCAATCTCTCACATGGCTGACAGAAGATATGAACCTGAGAGTAGCTGCATTCTCCCTCTGAAGTGAAACAGAGAGAGGAGCAGATAAAGGACAGTAGAATAAACTAAATCAGGAAGAAAAGAGTTTGAACAAGCAGGATAATTTGTTTTTAACAGTAAGCTAACAATCGATCTCCTGGCAGAAAGGATGAGGATAAACATTTACTGGTGAAAAGAAATGTGTTAATGGGATAGATCTGACTTGACATAAGCAAGGGGATAGGGAAAAAGTATTAACTTAGTTTTGGTTGACAAGAAAAAAACGGCTAGGAAAGATCAAGAAGATTAACAGTGCAATGAAAACATATTTTACAACACATGAAAGAATATGGACATTTCTTCTACTGCTTCATACAAATATATTAACGTTTATGGCCCCTCGGGCACTTCTTACACTGGCTAAAAATGTAGCAGTACTTGTAGAAAGTTCCTGACAGATTTTTTCGTTTATAAAGGTGATAAGACAAAAGTGATACAAAGGTTACACAATGCTGTTGGAACTGTGATTTCTAACGCATAGACAACGCTGCAGAGACCAAGCATCTGATTAATGTCTTTGCAGTCACGATGAAGATACGGTTTGTCAGAAAAGGCAAATATTACATAAAATGAGAGCTCTCAAAAAAGACAGGATTCTATGTATCTGAAGTAATCTTCAGACGCAAAAGGACCCAGAATCTGGAACTGATGGAAAAATCAACCAGGGATCCTTCTAAGCTACCTTTATGAGCTTGTGCAGTAATATGCTACACAGGATGAGTAAAGAAGGCAGAATCAGTTACCTTGGAACTGCATCTTATAAAGTACCTTTTCACAAGGGTCTCCTTTCAAAAAGACAAAAAAAGAAAAATTAAACAAACCTTTAACACATGTTGGTTTGCTGACAGTCTTCTTTGATCCTAGTCCTAATTGGCCCCAGTTGTTACTGCCGAACATGTATAGTTTACCATTCCCTGAAAAAAAATGCACAGTCAGAATCCATACAAGTGTTTGAATACCTCATAGAAGACAAGAGGGTCACTCACACACTACGCTATTTATTACTCCCTTAAGATTAGGCAATTCAATAATTAACGTCCTTGTGATTTTTCAGTACAGAAGTAGTAATTGCATTGTTCAAGTAAGAAATCCCCAGCCAGAAGAAGGGACAAAAAGCAGAACAAACATCCTCTCCTTTAGGTACAGCACAGATAAAGTGCTCTTCAGAAAATAAAATGCTGTGCTCTTGGACAGACCCCGCAGTTCAGAAACCACAGTATCTATAGGCCTACTTATAAAATAACAGCACATTTAACTGAGCACCCACATCTTTTACCCCAAAGACAGGAATGCATAATGCAGCTATATAATTAATACAAACACAAATTTGTAATATTCAGCTTATTTTATTGTTTGGGGGGGGCTATGTCTTTTACTGCTAATGTCTTCTCTTAAAATGATTTACAAATTTGCACTTCTACAGAACATAGCTTCTGATAAATTTTCAGATGTGTACACAAATTGTATTAATTTGTTACTCTGCATATAAAGAAGGAACGCAAAAAAACACCATGCAGCCAGGGAGTTTTGTAAACCTAAATGCAAACATTAGATTACAAATCTTCAACAGGAGCAATGCTAGAATCGTATTTCAGAAACTGGTATGACGTGTCATTGAACTTGCAGGTTTGACCACTATAAACAATGAACTGTTGTAATTCCGAATAACAGGTGTTTTTTGAAGAGGATGGTATATGAACAGATGAAACTTTTGTCATCAGGCATGCAAATTAGACAGCCAAAACTGACTACTGACAATACCTTAAAATGAACTCATTTTGTTTCATTTCAATTTTTAAAACTATTACCTTTGGTAAAGCTGTGAAGTTCACACCCAAAGATAAAACCCTTGTTCCGACAGAAATCTTTGCAAAACAATAGAAACTGATTTGTCAAAACAAACACCTTTTACAACTGTTAAAAGGAGTTTGTTTACTTTTGATGAAGTTCTGCAGAGCTTTGTGAGTTAGACTCCATCACAAGGCTGTCACGTAAATAAACTTTGTCACCCCAGCCATCAACAATTATCACGATTGCAATGCATAACAGCAATTCCACATAATAATGCCAAAATATTATGGCTGTTTGTACTTCAGTAGTGTAGGTTCCCAGTGAAGGTTCTGAATGTGATTTACAGAGACTTTGAAATATGATATTGAAATGTTTAAAATATAACAAAAATACTTACTGTTAAAAAAAAAAATCCATTTATTTTCTTAAATATAACCACGTAGTTAAAAAAACCAAACAACCAACAACAACTAACAGTAACTAGTACCTAAAGTCCCAATCAAATTGTTAGATTTGACAATTTTTGGAACATGGGGCTACATGTCAATATTATGACTTTCCAAGAAAGTTGGAAGGGAAGAAAGTCTAAGGTCAAGTCCACGCTCACGGTGTTTTACTGATAGAGTCATAGAATCGTTTAGGTTGGAACAGACCTTTAAGATCATCAAGTCCCACCGTTAACCTAGCACTGCCAAGTCCACCACTAAACCATGTCCCTAAGCACCACATCTACACGTCTTTTAAATACCTCCAGGGATGGTAGCATTTATATCACCAGCCCGATTTTGATAATGCAATCACGTCAAAACGCATGCAGAGCTGTCCGTCACTGAGAGCAAAACGCACCTTAACAGAAAGAATTTTTATTAGCAAATGGCATCCTATATTGGTATATGCTTCCTTGTATCCTTGGTTTATACTTTTGAACTGCCTTTATAAGACAGTAGTACTCCTGTGGGAATATGATGCCAAGCTGCCGTAATTCAATTTAAGCACAGTCTCTTTTATCCATTCAAAATTCCAACAGGTCATGCTTTTCATCCTATAATCTGCTGCTTCTTATACCAGTCTTTAAATTCTCAGGCACTGCTTTGTAAGTCAAGGAGCTTAATAGATGAGAGGAATTTTTTTACATTCTTCTACAACTGAATGACAGTCTTTTATAATTTCAGGCTTCCAACGCTTAGCAATGTAACAGAAAATAAGAAAACTGGGAAGCAGGTAATTCAGACAGTGAATGAAAACTAATAGGCACTACAGAGGAACCTAAACAAATGCCTGTAATGAAGCAACATTTCTGGGTCTGTACAGCAAATCAGGTTTTGGAACAGACATGATGCAATCTAAGCTGGCCAGGAAACACCACAGAATTTTGTATGCAAAGGGCCCTATTTTCACAGTTGCATACTGAAATATCTCCAGTCATCACCGCAGATGCACTGAAATGAAAACTAATTCAACAGCAGACAGATAGGCAAGGATCACATTTCAAAACTTTGCAAACTCTGATTGCGCTTGTCTTTTTGCTTCCACTTTGGTGCTAACGTACAGAGATTGTGGCCATCTGCCATCTGGAACGGCTGGCAGAGGACAGGTCCAGCAGAGTAAGATTATGACTCTGGGCAGCAGAAGGGAAACAACAGGATATGAAGAAAGGGACTACTAGGTCTGATTTGGTGATGAAAACATACTTCCAACACCAGTTTCCACCTTCATCCTCACACAAGGCTGGAGTCTTTCTCCAGAGTATGTATGCATTGCCTTATCACCAGCAGATGTTTCACCAACGTTAATTCAGAGCTATTAGGGAAGCCACAAGACGTTTACATCTTTAGGAACCGGGGATTTTGTGAGACACTTCGGGAAAAGAGTGTCTCCTAACCAGTACGTTTCTCATATGAGTAGCTGCTATCACAACTGTGATTCCTGGGAACCCCATCTGTCATGTGCTCCCCTGGTTCATGAAGCACTACTAAAGGCATTCATTCAGCAGTTGGGAAATACCAGCTGAAATCCTCAACATGCTTCATGATAATAGCAGGCAGCCAAGTGTTCCTATCATCTATGTTTAAAGGCGTTTTACATATTCCCCTCCTTGCTTTCTAAATTATATTAGTGTGGGAGGAAAATAAAATGGGGAGACAATGTACAGACTTTGAGCATTTATTACAAGATTCTGTCAAGAAGCTATACCTGAAGAAAACTTAAAAGGTAATATTTTGGACGGAGTATCATATACCAGGCACCATGATTTTTTGTATTTATTTGTGCTATTTTGTGAATAAACTATGTTAACAGTTCATTTAAAATTCATATACAATTCAATACATCTCATGAAAATGAGAGTGACATCAGTTTTGTTCGGCAAGTCACGATATTCTCAAAATAAAAGCTTTACTGAGCAATAAGAACAGTCATGCTTAGGACATTTAGCATCACACAAACGAAACCAGCGCAGTATGTTGCCTGCTCCTACACATATCAAAGATCAACACAAACATGTACTAATCTTTCTCATGTTCCCCTTGCAGCTGACGTAAAAGATACTGTGCCATGTTCTGATGGCCTGCTGGTAGGCAGAAAGAATAGAAGGAATCTGGTATCCAAAGACCTGGAGAGATTCCAAGGTCCTTTGGTGTAAATTGTTGAACGTTTAATGCCTTACAAAACTCAGAATTATGAGCATACTATCTTCTTGTGGTTCCATATGCACCTCTTTTCATTCCTTTTACACTTGGTAACTTCTTTCTTTCCTTCTACCCTCTTGCACTGGGGGCTTCAATTCTCTCCAGAGCCGAGTTCAGAAAATGTGTCTTCCGTCATCATCATTTTCCCCCTTGTGAACAGGATCAGTCTCTTTGATCAAATGTGGGCAAGCTGCCTAGGATACTCTAATCAAGGCAAATAAACAATAAGACAGCTATTAACTTTTAAGCGTTTTGTAGAAAAGAAAATTAATGGAAAAGTATTGGGAGGAGATTTTTAAAAATATGCATAATGTCACTTATTTCACACCAACTCCCAACAGGATGAATAAATTGCCTTCCAAAGCCTGCAGTTATAAAAGATACAGGGAGTGGACTGTCAGTATTCTTGGGCCAAAAAATATAGAAATGGGGCAAGAAACATTATTAAATATATTACAAGTGATGCCGGAAGGTATACTGCTCATGACTCCATTAAAGAACTAAAGATGACGACTGCTTAAAAGAATTCCTGCTTGAGTATTTTAATGAAGATTGTGCTAAAGGTAGAGAGCAAATGAATAAAGAAACACAAATTTCAATCCCAAACTCCAAAACTGGAGGAGGAAATGTTTCTCTGACTAGCTCAGCAAGCCAACTCAAAGTCAGCAAGTAACTATCACTGGTCCTTTCTATTCCAACATAGAGCCACAGTATGTAAATAAAATTTTGGACTCTAACTCCTGACCTGGAAAGCCAAAGAACAGAGTGTTTTATATTTACTTTACACTTTTCCTCCTAAAAGTTATATGGGAAAACTGATGCTGGATTAGATTAAAGAAGTATTTGAAAATTTCTTAGTATTTTGTTTGAATGCTAAATATTAGTTCCTGTACATTTTCTTCGTTTGCATTCTGTCAAGATTCAGTGCTAGATGTAGCTGTCTCTCCTGCCTCAAACCAGCTTTAAGGAATGTTTTGTATCAGTTTGGGTGATTGTTTTACTTATGATTGTTGAGACCTGGTAGTGTAAAACTGATATATTTCTATCAGGTTTGAAGCTACCTCATATTCCCACTCTCCCCTACATACATAGGTCCCACTACCTCCTCCAGGGAGTGGGAAAAAAAAAAAGGAGGGGGGAATTTTGTGACCTGTAAATAAAGACTGAAAATAAAATGAAGCATGCATTAACACACACCTGCTTGAGATACTTTTCCTTTCTCAGTGATGTTTCTCTTTTATCTCTTCCAGGTCACGTTCAGCTGGATTTCAAGAAGCTCCTGGTTTCCCACAAGGTCTGTACCCTTCTCAGTAAACTCATTATCGGCATGCACTTCTGGAGCTTTTATTCCAGGTGTTACTGCAGTTCAGTGTCATTCACCAAGGGCTGTAATTCCACTGTATCATCCAACTCCATCTAACAGCAGAAATGTGCGGTGCACACGGGCATGCACAGGTGTGAAGGACAAATGAGGGAGAAAGATTTTCTGTTTCCCTTCTTCACTTTTTTGTACAACTCTTGCGGTTTCTCTACCTTTGCTTGTTGTTGATCAGTATTTTACCCTCACTTTTGCCTCTACTTTACAATGTCCCAGAAAACCTTTTGGTACCAAAGAAATTCTGTACTCATGCTTCTACAGTTCCTTCTCCTCAAAAGCTTTGAGAAAATAAAGATCTGATTATCTAGAAGTTTCCCTGGTGACGTATCTGCACACTACAACAGCAAAAGCCAGCTACAGAGACGTTTTTGAAACATGCTGTGTATCTTAAAATAACAGGGAGAAGGGGAGATAGTAGAGAAACGGTGCTGCATGCAAACCTATGCAAGTTGACTTCTTGAAAAGCTTTATCTAAGTGGCCACTATTACAGTGACAAGGGAATTAGAGGATTGTTGCTGATTAGGGTAACAGTGCTGGCACAGGCACATGCTGGGGGAACTCAAGGAGGTAATTTAAATTTACTAGTCTAAACCAAGAATTGTACTCGTGTTATTTCAAACTGGGTGTGGGCATACAAAAGGATATATAAAAAAAAATTTCTAAAGGAAAATTTCACAGTGCCCCAGGTTACATTCTGATTAATTTTATGCAACAGGCAATTTAATAAACTGGTTCAGTCCAAGAAAAAGTGTCAAGTTTTGTTCAAAACACAAACTATTCATGGATAATTCATCTTCTATGAAGTCAGGCTTGAAAAATTCATCGTACAATTTCACTTCAAGATGTTCTGCAGTCCATGAAATCTACACTCTTCTTTTAACATGCCTGGAATCGTTCATTCTAAAAGTCCAGCATCTTCAACCTTGCTTGGGGACATAGCAAGAAACCCTCAAGAAATTATTTAATAAGCAATGACCAATTGGGCATTGATGAGGAATAAATACATTCCAATAAAAAAAGCCCTGAAAATATGCATATAAATTTCATAACAACAGTCTTATTATCTATCAGCAGTTGATTGTCAATACAATCGACACACGTGCTCATCAACAAAAGAGTAGTCCCTTCCACGTAAAATAAATTGAACAAGTTCTTCAATGAGTATTGCTTCCATGATCTCAAAAAAATGAAAATGAACATAAATACTGCTCACTGTATTGCATCTGAGCTTCTTTGAATGCTTTTGCAATTTATTTCTGATTTTAGTAGGATTTTCTGAAGTTTTTTGAGTTGCCCTTTCAAGGGTTATTTTCAGTTGACAGTTAACAGTAATTCAAATCTAAATTTCAGAGATACAATTTTATCTGTTGTTTCGGCAGATTCCTAGTGAACTTGTTGACTGTGTTCAACAGATACTGTTTACTTCCATGATAGAAACCTCTATATTTAAGATTGTCTACTAAATAACTGTCAGATTCACAGGAAACATTCAAGCTGAACAAAGTCATGCTTACTTTAAATCCAGTGTGATACGTTCAGTTATTATCGATTCACTCACGACAGTTCTTGGGCATGCCTCGTGAAAACCTTCAGTGATCTCACACTAACTTCAAAGGCATCCAACAGCCCCCACAGAAGAGTACCCTCTCCTCTCCACAACCCCATTTGATGTAGTACCTCAGGATTCAAATAAGAATCATAACTTTCCAAGCTGTCCAAATATATAACCTTTTATCATATACTCCATTTCCAATACTGACCTGTAACAATAGCGGTATGTTCATCTCCACATGATATATGTACAGGCTTGTCATTTTTGAACCAGAACTTGCTAGGAATATCTTCTGCAAATTTGCTTTTTCCAAATGTGAAAACAGCACCTGATTCTAAAACACAAAAAGACAATGTCAATTTTAGTGAAAACAAATTTTGTCTCATACATTTTGAAATAGTCATTTCCTATTAATTCAATCTCACATTTTAGTTTCCCATCTTTTTTTAAAAAATGGCTGAAACATTTTCTTCTATTCTGTTTCACCAAGACTACTTCATTTTCAGGTTCACATCTTAGTCCTTCTGATTATTCTTAGCCTCCATGAATTTCCCAATAGACTACGTATTGTTGCTGGCGTATTGTGTTCTGAGGATACTGTATTGTGTTTGCATGGCAAGGTTTTGGTAGCGGGGCGGCTACAGGGGTGGCTTCTATGAGAAGCTGCTAGAAGCTTCCCCCATGCCCGACAGAGCCAATGCCAGCCGGCTCCAAGATGGACCCGCTGCTGGCCAAGACTGAGCCCATCAGCGACGGTGGTAGCGCTTCTGTGACAACGTATTTAAGAAGGGGAAAAAACTTCTGCGCAACAGCAGCCGGGAGAGAGAGGAGTGAGAAATACGTAAGAGAAACAGCCCTGCAGACACCAACGTCAGTTAAAAAAGAAGGGGAGGAGGTGCTGCAGGTGCTGGAGCAGAGATTCCCCTGCAGCCTGTGGTGAAGACAATAGTGAGGCAGGCTGTCCCCCTCCAGCCCATGGAGGTCCACGGTGGAGCAGATATCACCTGCAGCCCCTGGAGAAGACCATGATGAGGCAGGCTTTCCCCCTGCAGCCTGTGAAGGTCCACGGTGGAGCAGATATCCACCTGCAGCCCATGGAGGACCCCACACCAAAGCAGGTGGATGTGCCCAAAGGAGGCTGTGACCCCGTGGAGAGCCAGTGCTGGAGCAGGCTCCTGGCAGGACTTGTGATGCCGTGGAGAGAGGAGCCCATGCTGGAGCAGGTTTTCTGGCAGGACTTATGACCCCATGGGGGACCCACGCTGGAGCAGTCTGTTCCTGAAGGACTGCACCCCATGGGAAGGACCCACGCTGGAGCAGTTTGTGAAGAACTGCAGCCTGTGGGAAGGACTCACATTGGAGAAGTTCGTGGAGGACTGTCTCCCATGGGTGGGACCCCACGCTGGGGCAGGGGAAGAGAGTGAGGAGGAAGGATCAGCAGAGACAACATGTGATGAACTGACTGCAACCCCCATTCCCCATCCCGCTGTGCTGCTCGGGGGGAGGAGGTAGAGAAAATCGGGAGTGAAGTTGAGCCTGGGAAGAAGGGAGGCGTGGGGGGAAGGTGTTTTAAGATTTGGTTTTATTTCTCATTACTCTACTCTGATTTTCAATTGGCAATAAATTAAATTAATTTCCTCAAGCCGAGTCTGTTTTGCTTGTGACAGTAATTGCTGAGTGATCTCCCTTACCTTATCTCGACCCATAAGCCTTTCGTTGTACTTTTCTCTACCTGTTCAGTTGAGGAGGGGGAGTAATAGAGCAGCTTGGTGGGCACCTGGCATCCAGCCAGGGTCAACCCACCACAGATACAATAATTTGTTTTAAAGTACACTAATGTACTTTATCACCACCCTCTAAGAAAAACTACTAGGTGCGTAAAAGAAAGAAAAAAGAACTCTGAATAACTGCCCCCAGAAAGTAAAATAAAAAGCTCATCCTGAAAGCAGCTTGAGACGAAGAGTTCTCACTTATGTTTATACTTGAATTCAAACACGTTTTCCAAATTGGATTAGAGAGAGACTCACAGACTGTAAAGAGGTGACAGGCTCCAAACTGACCACTCTTCCTTACCCATCTGAAAAGATACATGTGCTCTAAAAACGGACCCCTACAGTCAAAACTCTTAGTCTTCAAAACATGGGTTGACACAACTGCCTTTGACCATAAAACCACGATCTAAAAAACTCAAACAAAAATACCCCCCCCCAAAATCCAGACAACTCTTCCACCCTTGTAATCTGTCTAGTTGTCTCAATTCTTCCTACTTTCAAAAGTGTCAGCACTGTTGTTTTAAAACATAAAACGTTAACTATTCATTCACCTTTTGGTCAAGCATGTGGCTTGACACAGAAAATATTAATTCTACAGGAAAATAAATGACCTCACAAGTTAAATAATTTGCCAAAAGCCATGCAGACAATGTGGCAAAGCACAATTACACCTCGTATTTTAAAATGTCAAAACTTGTGCTTTAAGCACCGAATCATTCTTTAGAAAAGAAAACAACCAAAGAAAAAATCCAAACCTTTTCTTTGCAGACTTTCTGTTAACATGTAAGCTATGATAGCACAAATACAGTAACATTAGACTGTCTCTGTAAAACTGTATATAAGTTGATAGTAACATTTATTTTCAATGAAACACACTGAGATGTTTCATTCTCATCAGTACTCAGCACCCCAGCTCCAAAACCCAAAGTTCTCTCCTAAACTGTAAATTTGATATTCATTTTGAAATGATTCTTTAATACACAAGTTTCCCATATTTGCAAATGACATCTTATTTTATGTACCATGTTCAGCAGCCATGCATAGAATTGTATGTACTGCCTCTCTAGATGTGTTTCACCGTTTTATTATAAACAAGCCTTTGTGCAGTCAAATTTAAAGAAAGGGCACACCTACAACCATAGGCATCCTAAAAGGCATCTGAAAACATGATTTTGTTTTAAGTTGTACTCTCCAGCCAGCCAGCCAGCCATGCTGCATATTTGAGCATGCTTACAGTGATGTCTTTGGCACTTGTGCCACAGTGGAGCTCTCTGGTTAATTTCTTTTTCTTTCAGAAGCATTAACATGAAAATATATATATATTCGTAATTCAACGTATACAAAACCCAGACAATTTAATTCACAAATGTTCTTCGTATCTCATTAATTTCACAACTGAAACCTAAGCCGTCAGTTTGGAAATCAGACCCTACCAATTCATAAAATTAAATCCCACAGAACATAAGTGAGGTTTTTGCCGTCCGGGCACCGAGCAAATGCTTGAAAACTACAAACCACGGGCCAAAACTTATTTATTAACTGAAAGAACCTGTCTGCTTAACACTGCACCGCTGTACCATGCCGGTGACGACAGCAAGGTTGCCCCGTCTAATCTCTGACGTCAGCGTACGTCTTTCC